GTGTGTGTGTGTGTGTGTGTGTGTGTGTGTGTGTGTGTGTGTGTCACATTTGTAATCCATCAATCTGGTTGTTGAGAAAACTGTTAAACTCAAACAATCTTCATATTGGCAACAACCAGAAAAACAAACACCAGGCTGGAAAAAAATGAGATTAATCCTTTAAGTCAGGTCCAATGCTCTCCGAGTCAAATTCTTAAACCAAGTCACGTTTTTACATTCTTTCTCTCTTAGATTAGACGCTTTGTGAGGCATAAATCCTGAGTCTGTGTCAGTTGTGTAATGAAAGAATAACACAGTGCTGTTGCGTTTGCCCAGCAGAGTTTGTCTTAATGTAAGTCCGCTGACATGCGGCGAGAATGCCCATTTGTTGACATGAGATTAGTGCTCGCGGGAGCAGTTGTTTGGAATATCTGTAGGATGTTGATATTGATTACTGCTGTGTGCTTAAGTGCACGCAGAGCATTTTTCCCACTCCACCCGAGCTAGAATAATGAGAACAGAGCACTGGAGAATCGGGAGTGGTGGCACACTGCATGTATAATGCTGTGATTGGAAGTATTGTCATGGCTGTTAATAGTCTAACAGTATTCAATATTGTCCTGTCACATCCTATTTATCCTGAATAAGCTCAAACCAAGATTATGAGCATAGTGACAGCCACAACAGCTATAAGTTGATTTAAGGTGCAATACTGAGCTATGTAAACACCTTAAAAGGATAGTTTAAATGTTTTGAAATGGAGCTGTTTAGGTAGTTACCCATAGTCAAAATGTATTGGCTACATTTGATGACGGTCAACACTACCCCGGTCTGAGAAGAAGGTATTACAGCAAAGCAAGGTACTGCTGTGGACGTGTTAAACATATTTTAGCAACCTAAGAGAAAGGCCTACCTTGATGTATCAGTTTAGGTGTGTGCTATATTTAGAATATATCCATCCCTTTGCCTTGCCAAGAGACTGCCTTTCAAACTAACATTTTCTTACAAAGCCACCTGAATCCATTGGAAAAAAACGACATTGGTGAGTTTGTGTGTCTTATTGTGTTGCTTTGGTTGGTTCGTATTTACCAAAGTCACGCATCCCCTCACATGTTTTTAATGGAGTCTGGCTTTAGCGAGGACAGAGATAATAGTTTATTTCCCAATCAGACTGTGGGCTCTCTCAAGACAAAGCGATACAAATAATCTTGTCTGAATGAGCTTTTTTTATGGGTCAGCCTTTCTTTCAGGTGGCCATCGTACATTTTGAGCAAGCACTACATGTATTGTTTTCTCTCATGCAATAACTCCCTATCTACTGTTGGTAACATACTGACTATGGAAGTACCTCATACAACCCTATTTCAAAACATGCAAACTAACGCTTCAACTAATATTTCTGTTGTTTGTGAGGTCTGAATCACAATTCATCACTGATTGAAATCCCAAATAACATTCTTTGACAGTGCAGGTAACTGGGTTATTGGCTTGGAGGCTGTGTTTATGTAAACATATTATTATATCTCCAGTAGCTGCTCACTCTGTTTTCTCTGCTCTGATGTAAGACCATCTGTTAGGTGCTTTACTGCAGAGCCCTTCCCTTTTCAAAGAACACCCATGCAATTACTCACTTTCCTTTTTAACTGTTGTGGTTGGAGCAATCCATAGACCGCTTTTCCTCCACCCTGTGTGAGTGTATCGTCGATCAGTGTGTTATCAAATAGTAGTTTCCAAGGCCTCGTTCCAGCCCCTTCCTCCTCAGATTGTCAGTCAACCCCATTTAGTGATCAAGCCTTTCTCTCCTTCATCCTTCCATTCATCCGCTCTTTGTTATGTCGTTTCCCCCGACACACCCTTCCTGTCTCTGGAAAGCTAGCTATGGCTAATGTTATTAAGTAACAGCCTTCATCCTGACAGCTATTAATCATTGCTACTGGACCTGTTGGTTCAGTAGGCCTTACTGTGACCCATATTATCCATGTGTGTGGTTGATAGCTGAGCATACACCTGTGAGAGTCCATTCAGCAGAGCTTTAAAGGTATTGTGGTTATTCTTTGGCAAAGAAACCTTTCTAAACTGGCACTGTCTGTAGATTAATGCATACTAAACCAACAGAGAACGTAAAAAGAGTTCTATTGAGGTTCAGTACTGAGGCTTTTACAAACCACTCTTTTACTGAATAATACATGGTATTGAGAAAGAGCTTGTGTAGTGGCGCCTCTTTTCAACAAGTTCCAGCAAAGTCAGTGTTTGTCCTCTATGCTGATCAGGTGAGGGTGTGTTTTAGGTTGAGTAACACACGCACGCACGCACGCACACACGCACACACATGATAGATGGGAGAGTTTACGAGACCTGGTTTTAAGATTGTTTGGCATTTTGACAGCAGTAATAGCAGTTTACGACAACAGCTAGATGACAGAGGGATGACATAATGCTGAGGTTTCCAGCTGGATCTAAGTTCCCCCCCTTCATACCTCTGCACACTTTGTCTATTTCTGCATTAAATAAGCATTCTGGTTCTGAAAAATGCAGAAACTGTCCACAGCACTCCTCCCAATCGTGCTGTCAGAGAGTTTTCAGACCATGTTAGAGGGCCAGTAAGCTTTAATAGAAACACATTGAAATGTCTTTTCATTTGACAGGGACAAGTTCAAATGCAGAGCTTGAAACTGATTTGCTGCACAGATAGTTTGTAGTTTAACTCTTTGACATGATTCAGTGTGATACAAAAAAAATACAGCTTTCAATAACATAAACCACAATACACTATAAATGTGGATATACATAAAAGGCACATCACATAATGCAACACTACAAAACAGCATTGCACATACTAATAAGTGACTGCCCCACACTTTTATACATTGGAACTGAGGTGGCTGCTTCCGTCGACTAAGACAAAGTAATCAACTTTACTCGGTAAGGATGTGAAATTACATCTTTGTTTGCACCACCAAGAGTAACGTTTTACATCCATTTCAGGAGAAACTTTTTGAAAATGTGCGGTGGTACCCACATATTTATCCGATTGTTAGAGCAACAACATGGCTTTATTAAAATAGCGCTAATCAAGCCTCAAATCTTAAAAATGTGACAACCAGATGTTCTATGTATAACATTGAGGAATGTACACATAAAACCTGTGGCTTCTTGGAACAGCTATTAACAGTCATGCTGTTTTTAAGAATACTGGGTGCCTTTAGGCCTCTAGATCAGAATGAATACATTAAGATTTCCTACTGGGCTACGATCTATTGAACAAACCATTATTGTAAAAGGTTCATGAAATGCTGCTGTTGTTGGATCAGCACCAACGCAATGGCTGTGTTATTGATCCATAGCTTCTGTTGATACGTTAGTGAATTAATAACTCGCTAATGTTTCTATAATCGTTTGTATACATCTTTATTTGTAGCCTCATCTATGAGAGGACCTACTAATCTTGCTGAATTAGCATTTAATCAACCCGAAGATCACTAGATAAGTGAAGTACGTTGCTAGTGTTTCTGTATGTTCCACCTCCAGTCTGATTTGGAGGAGAGGTTTCTTCGTTGTCAGTGGCAGCAGCACTGTGAAGTGTGTGTATTTTAGGGTAAGTGGTGTGACCCCGTGGTGTCAACATGAAAAGTGAGTGCTACAAATCCTTGAGAAGAGGATGAACTTGAGAAGAAGTGTTTTTTTCCGACACAGGGAACCATTCTCACTGTTCTCCGTTTTCTTTTTTCCTGTCAGGAAAGGCTTAGCTGATAAAGGACATCCTGAACTGCTGTTTTTTTTTCTTTTCTTTAGCAATCTTATGGTCTCACAATCCAAATGTATCACTCTTCAATGTCTCTGCCGTGCTCTTTTTGAAGTACTCTTGTACCTCTGCTCTCACATTCACAAAGAAAACAAGGAAGGCATTCATGAAGCTCTAAGAATGAGAACTCTGATCTACTCCTCACATAAACATGAAGTGAACCCTCCTCACCGTTTACAGACCGGTCAACATCAGAGCCAGGTGTATCACGTTTCTCCCTCCACTCCTTCGGGCAACATCTGAGGACAGAAGGATTTTCTATTGTCTTTTCCCTATATAGGCCAGGCTTGTCAGTTCATGCCGTGTTTCTATTGAGACAGTATGTCCTCTGTACCAGCCTCATTAAAAGCGGCATGGTTCAGTACACAGCAAACACACACCGAGTCAATCACCCCCCCCCACCCGTCTCCGTTAGTGTCCCCGCTCTGGTCTCCATTAACTCATCCCTTGACCTTTCATTACTGTTCAACTGCTGGCTCTATTAACCACATACTATATGGCTTGACTTAGCAGTTATAATGTAAATCAACTTTTTGCAAATGTTTACAAAACTTATCAGATGTGGTCATCAAATATCCTGAAGTTGTATGAAGTTTTTATTTATTTTGTACAAAACTTTCTCCATATGCGCCTTAACTTTTGCAAGTGAATTCTAGTTGTACATGGCAGCTAAGGCCGCTGCTTATATAGGCAATGGCATGAATTGATGAAAGGTGAACCATTTTTCCCTCTGCCGCAAGCGAATAATATAAAAACTATTAAAATAGCCTAGTGTGCAAGTTCATCTTTTGGTAACAACAAAATGTTTTAACATTTCATTCAGATCAAATTCTAAACCACTGCTTGGAAGGGGAAATGTGCACATGCAATAAGTGTATAATACAAATATAGTAAGGCAGTATTAACAGTATATGTAGATCTGTATTTGTAGTTTAGCTACAATTTATTTTATTATAGTTTTTTTTAATAACCACTCACAGCATTTTAAAAGATGGCATCATACTTATCAACAGGGTGAACCACACCTCATCCCTTAAGAAAAACCTTTGGTCCATCGTTGTTCACAGTGACTTCTCGGCTTGGATTCCTAGAGATTTACTTTTCTGAATGTCAAGTGAGAGCAGCTGCTGGCGTCTCTCAAGCTGGTCTGTTATATAACTTAGACCCAGTTTGATTCCTCCTCAATAATTAATAATTGTTCTCCTCTTCTCTCTCCCAGGTGCAGCAGAAGCAGAGTGTCAGTGGTGAGGAGGAGGACTCGGGAACACCGGTCCGAGACACTGACAGTCAGTATGGCACCTGGGAGACGGGACTGCGCACTGATGACAGGTAAACACACGGTTTTCATTTCGTCTGGTGCTTCATTTGTTTAAATAGTCAATATTCCCAAACCACCCAAATTCGTCAATTGTGAAAATGAAAACACAGCCATGGTGTTCGGGGAAATATCCTCTCATGTTTATTTATTTAGATTTTTGTTTCCAGATTAGTGCCCTTTAAAAATGTGACTAAACTTAGTCGATATGCACTAAAGTCTATGTCTCAAACTCTTTCAAATTCATATGTTTTTTTCATTTTTACGTCAATGTTTTGCTATGCAAGCTTAAAGAAAACAAAGAATGAAAATACCTCCTTCTGAAAGTTAACCTGAAGGCAGTAAAATGTATACGCCATCTTCTGTCATTGTTTATGCTCTGGTTAAAGTGTTGAACAAACTACCACAATCTTTGTTTATCTTTCTAGCTATGGGGGAATGGCGGATAATAATAAAAAAGTTACAATAATTCCATGACTTCTCTGTTACTTCACTGACCCCCTGTGGTCAGAAAATATCATCACATCGTTAACCAACAACAATAAGAACAGAGATTATATCAAATTTGTAAAAAAAATAAGATGTAGTGTGTTTTATATATAATATAAATATATTCATGTCCATCCTTCTTGTTTCACCTTTAGCCCTGTTTTTAGGTGCGTCAGATACATCTTTGTTGCCACAGTCGTGTCAACAAAGGGAATAAATGACTCAGGCTCTATTTGATTTGAAGGGATTGTACCTGCGGTTAAAGCAACCACACATTTGTTTTATAACTTGTCTCTTCTTAACCTCAGCCTCAGTCCTGCCACTCCCAGTTCAGAAAGTAATCTCAGCCCCTCACCAAGGAAGCCCACCCCCCCGCACACGCTAGCTGATCCCGGCTCACAGTTTGATAGCGACGCTCCGGACGGCGTTCCTCAATCAACATCTGAGAGCCAGCCGCTCCCTTTCCCTGATGTAAGTGTTAACCCCAGCTAATGTCTGCTGCTGTTTTAACCCCTTGCGCTTCACTAGAGACATGTTTGGCTTTTTCTCTTTGTTGAGTTTTGGGCTGTGATAATGCATACTGTATGGCACACATTTTTGCATTTTCTTTCCCCAATTTTTGGAAGTTCAACCTAATCTCCTATGTATTTCTCTCTGTTTGGACGTCCAGGTCCCGACCGCTCTGTTAGACACCAGCGCCCTGCGCTCCAGAGCTCACCTGGTGAAGAAGCGCGCCCCGAGGGCCCGCCCCTCCAGAGCCGGCCGTCAGACAGTAGCGCTGTCCCCGGCCGAGGGAGGAGCCACGGACGACTGGCTCTACAGAGACTCCACAGGTGAGCACAAACACAAGAAGATCAAGGGACCACGCTTTATATTCAAGATTCCTATTCTCAACTAAACCTTTACCTGACAAAACAAACAAAAGAGCATTTCAAAGTTTTAATGTGCAATGAAAATGTACTGCAAAATGCATTTGTGTTTGAACCGTAGCAGCAATATAGCTAAAAACACACAGAAAGAAGTAAAAAAGCAGCTCATGTTTCTCACTCAAATGTGAGTGCTGCCAATTAAAAAGATGCAGTTGCAAATGTGCCATTTTAGTATTCTGTATGTTTACAGGTGATATAAAAATATATATTTTCCCCATGACAGAGGCGAAGGTTGAGAGCAAGGACGCTGACTCTGACTCTGAGGAGCGGGCCAGAGGAGCCAAGGCCAGAGGAGCCGAGGCCGGCCCTGCCGTCTCCTCTCAGCCGCAGAGGATCCCCCTGTTCACCGGGTTGGACCCTTCAGCTTTAAAGGTGAGCCTCAACATTTACAAGATAAGCTAATATCTATATTAAACTGTTCAGTCAATACCTTCAAATCATTTCTCAGATATCCAAAATGGCGCAGTGGATAGCAGCCTCAGTGTTGTGGTCTCCTGTTCTCTGTTTTTGTTTTTAGCTCCGTTTCTGTTCTCCTACTCTGAGGATATTTAAATCTATACTTAGTAGTCAAATGTTTATGGTCATCGTTTTTAACTGTATGTTATTTATGTGTACATTTATAGCAACAAAATACCAGGGTCAAATTCTTTGTGTATTCACCTACTCGCTATGTCATAACATTACATGTTACTTGTTAGACGCTTTTATCCAAAGCGACTTACATACTCAATACTGTGGGCAATCCCCACAGGAGCAATTTGGGGTGAAGTGTCTTGCCCAGGGACACAATGACATGCTGACTGCAGTGGGGTTTGAACCTGTGAGCCCCTGATCCCAACACCAAGGCTCTATCCACTGCGCCACACGCCGCCCCTCATAACATCTTATTATGAATTAAAGTACCTAAATCTGTCCCGTTTCTCTTGTCAGGCCAATCTGAGGAGGAGGGGCGAATCTGACGTTCAGATGGATGGATCCACTCCCTCTCCTTCACAACTCTCTCGCTCTCCCAAGTCGCCCTTTCTCCCCCGGGCAGCGCGAGTACTGCCCCCAGCTGGTGGGAAAGAGAATGGGTAAGCTCCATTATTCATATAAAACTTGTTTTCTTTGCAGAGAAGACCAGAAGGGGGGGGGATAGGAATCAAATTGGACAGAGCCAGGGTTTCTTTGCTTTAGCCCGAGATAATGGTTCACACATCAGTGGTAATCAAATGTCTTCGTTAACTCAAGCTCTCTTCCTGAGGCTCTGTGCACAAACTCATAAAGGGAGGGGTTTGGTTGCATTTATTTGTTATTATTATTATAGAAGAAATGCTGCAAATAAGAGAGCAGTGCTGGCAGAACATTTCTAATTTTGTAAATTCTTAAGTAATGTTTCTTTTTATTTTGGCTGCACTAAACTTTAAACTTCACAGCAGGGGTTTGGTTGGATTTTTTTTTTTTTTTTACTGTGCAAAATTGTATTGATTACAAAACATTTAATTTGACCACTCGATGCATTCTCTGTGCTCTCTTTTTATTTTTACTACATATTCTGGAAAAAAATGTGTTTTTACTTTAAACTTCACACGAGATTGAAACAATAAACTCAATTATTGCACTGTTAATTGAGCTTTTTACCCTCAGGTTTGAAGTTCAACATGAACCACTAAGCCTTGTATTACAGTTCTCTGTTTAGACGTTTGTCCCGCATTCATTGATCTCCTTCTCTCTGTGCAGCGAGGAGGACTCACCGCAGTGGTTGAAAGAGCTGAAGTCCAAGAAGCGTTTGAGTCAGTATGAAAATGAAAGCTAAGATATTAATGAGGTGAGTTAGCTTTTGAAATGTCTTCCCATCTTTCAATGTGTATTTCACAAAAAATACCTAAATATTTCAACTTTTAACACCTGTTATCCTCACTCGACCCCCTTTAGGTGGCCTTATCAGATGAATCTATATGAAACAGAAGCCTTAACTTTGGAGAGTAGGAGAGAGGAATCTACAGCTGCTGACCTTTTCTTTTTTTTTTTTTTTTTCTCTTCCCATCTGGGTTTATAATGTGCATGGTGCCTTTTTTTTTACGGAGAGTCTCTGTCTTTTGGAAAAAGAATAAAACAAGCAAGGAGGAGAAGAAACAAAAACATCGTGCTGCTCTGCTTCATCCATTTCATGCTTGAACCGGTGGAAGCTCTCCTGCAGCAGGAGGCTCTTCACATGAACACTTTAAGAGGGACCAGGAGGAGACAGGAGGGGAGGGAGAGATTACTGGCAATAGTGCTGCAACTGATGATTATTTTCATGATCGATTCATCTGTTGATTATTATCTAGATTGATTGGTTAATTGTTTGGTTGAAAAATGGCAGAAAAACTGTCCATGGTGATGTAAATGTCTTGTTTTTTTTAGTCAAAAACCCAAAGATATTCAGTTATAATAAAGCAAAGCAAGTATTGTCCACATTTGAGAGGTTAAAATATTATTTTCTGACATTTTTGCGTAAAAGTTGCTTTAACGATGAATTGATCATCAAAATTGTGCTGTCTATATACGAACCGTTGCAGATGTATTTAACAACTATTTTGTATTAAGCAAAAAGTTAAGAAATGTTTGACTTGTGGGACCACGCAACACTTTTTCCTCTACGAGCTTCATCACACGCTGGAGGACAATCCAGAAAATCCTCTTCAAGATATCTGTGTTGGTTTCCTGACTTGTGTGTACAGGTCGTAACATAATGTGTGTGTTATCAGTATGTTGAGGGGCGTCACACAAGCATTGCCATAGGACGTCATTTCAGACACTAATGATCTCCTTCTTGAACATAAAGAACAAATCACTGCTGACTTTATTGCTAGTGTATATCATGTTAACATCTGTAATCAGGAGATGTTATATTTGTATTATCATTGATTTAACAGAGAACTAGTTTTGCGTTGCATCACTACAATAGACTTTGTTACACTCCACACAACCCTAACCGTGTCAGAGTTGCTGCATCTTGTACATATGTTTTTGTCTAAATATATTTTTGTTTTTTGTGTAGGAGGGACGGGGGACTTTGCATCTGTCAATCATGCACACTCCTTATCAGCACAAATACTTTTATAAAAGAGAAACACTAATCAGCCTGTCTTCCCAGAATGATTGTAGCGTTTATTAAAAGCCATACGTTCAGATTTTAGCCCTCACACACTCCTAAGTCATGATTTGACAATGCTTTTTGTTGTTTTTCAAACAAAATGTGGAATTGTGTCCCCTTTAATGTGCATGCACAATCTTTGCTGTCAAACTGAAAGTGTTGGGTGCTCCAGTGGAGGGATTATTTGTTCACTACTTTGTTTAAATCACTCTATGAAACTCCTAAAAGCATATGAACATTTGCACCTGCTTCCCACCTTTACTGTAATCCTCCTGCTGCTGCGCTTCTATAAAGCACTTTGTCACTCGACGCACTACGGCACTGACCTCTGCCTCTCGTCTGGTCTCCTGTGTTGTTGGAGATTTTCTCATGCAATGCAAGTGAATGTGTCGAAGTCCTCTGGGGGGATTGTCCCTGGTTTCTATGTACGTGACCTTTTACTTTGTCATAAAAATGTGAGGGTTTTTTTTTTGTCCTTTTTTTATTTGAAAGTAAAGATGTATATTGCACTGTGTTGTACTGGCCAGTGTCCTAAAGTGAATACATTCTTAATAAAATGTACTTGAGTTAAGCATTGGTCTAGAGTTTTTCTGGCAGAGTTTAACCTTGTGGATATTTAAAAAAAACTAAATGTTCTATCGTTTTAGGAAAGATTGGTTGCTCAGTATACTCAAGTGTAGATTAGCATGTATCAGGTGCTTTTGGAAAAAACAGGAAGTTGATTCAGGCACTCAACTTCCTCCAGAAAAATGTTAGGAAAGGAAACCACAAGGAAGATATATTAAAATGTATTTATTAAAAGCCAACATGTTTAGACCACTGTAGCTATTCCTCAGGGATGGTAACATGTGCAACTATTTTTGGTTCAAACAACTTACTGAAAGTCTTACTTTGAGGTCAAAAGAGGTCAGAATAAATTAAAAGGTGAATTTAAAACAACATTGTTCATGCAGTGTAATTATTTGCCAGAAACGAGACAAAAGGCCCGACAAAAACAACTTGACTGCTAGAATTATTATTATAAGGGTTTTATATTTTCTACCGATACCCTTATTATAAATGATTTCACAATTCACAGATTTACTACACAGTGCATCCTGTGAATGGACATATTTGTGATACCACTAACCTACATTTGGGTTAAGAGGAAGTTTTGTGTGTCTAACACCAGAGTGTAATCCCAGTGTGTGTGTGTGTTTGTGCTGAGCGGGGCTGTTTGCTGAATCCTCTTGGCTCTCTTTCCCCGTGCCCGCACACAGTGCTCGCTGGCAGCGGGCGGACAGGCAGGGCAGCGCGTGCCAACACAGCTGCCTATTGAGAGGCAGCGTTACGGACACAATGTGAGCGACAGACTTGCTGTATCAACAGCTCCCCCTTTTCTGCTGTTGTGGCCAGAAATAAACCATAAATACCCCCCCTGTCTCTTCCCTTTAATGGCTCAACCCCACCATACAGCAAGTGGCACCGAACAAAGAGGGACAGTACCACTTCCTAGCAGACATACCCAGGTAAAAAGCTCACTGTGGACACAGGCGGGGTAATAAATCCAATGCAATGGAGTTAGATGGTGCTGCATCAAGTGGAGACCAAGGTTTGGATGATTTTAGTATCATGGACATACTTTAAGGGATGATATCATCTTTTGTGTCCTATTCAGTTCATGATTATCCTTACAAAAGGAATACAATCCACTACTTGAGTCATAAATTGCAATCTTGACATTGAGCTTTTTTCCTCCTGTCTGTGTTTCCGTCCCTGAACATGCATGCATGATGGATGGTGCATTGCCTGTGTGTTTGCTGCTGGCACAAAGTGGATGAGCAGTGGATCAGGAAGATGTCGGAGCAGCAGAGTGCCCCAGAGCAGCAGGCGGCAGGGAAGAGCCAGGGAGGAGCTGGAGCCTCGTATAAGGTGCTGAGAAACAGAGTCTGTGCAGGGCTGGAAACCTGGTTTGGTCAGGGAAGGAGCCAAAATGTCCTACTATTGGATCAAAATCTCCTTAGTTAAAAAAAAGAAAGAAATCAATGTGACCTGGTGAACACACATAAGAATACTTGTTGCTGTAAGTGGGTATTTTGGATGTGCAGTGGTGAAATGTAACAAAGTACCTTTACTCAGGTATTTACATATTTCACTTAAGTAACATTTTAAATGCAGGATTTAACTAACAGAGTATTTTAGTGTATTATAATTCAAGGATTTGAATACTTTCCCCCCCACTGTTTGGTCAAGTGAAATCACTTCTTTAGGATCAATATTAGCCCCTTTATGAAGGCCTATATCCAAACCACACCTCATGGACACTGACTGCTCACTGTGTTGTTAAACAGGGAGTGAATCTGCAGCTTTTTGTCTTCCAGGTGTTTCTGTTTGAGTTTGAGAACTTCCAGGGCTGCAAGGCGGAGTTTTCTGCAGAGTGTAAAGATGTGATGGAGAAGGGACTGCAGAAAGTCGGATCTGTGATAGTCGAGTCCGGACCGTAAGTACTGTTCCAAACATATGTATACACACTGTAAGTATGGTTGGGCGATGTGGAGTAAATCAAATATCACAATCATTTGATATAACCTTGATATCGATAACAATGTTGTTGGGTGGCTTATTTGTGCTTTGATAACAAATATTTAGACAATGGGATGTTTTAATAAATAATCATCAGTACTGTGGATATAAGGACTTAAGGTTAAAGATGACATTCCTTTACTGTAACACAGCCTTTAAAAGTACAAAATAGTCAACCATATTACGATATCCAAAATCTAAGAAGTTGTGTCTCATCACAATACCGATTTAATATCCATATATTGCCCTGCCTTAGTAGTAAGAAGAAAGTTTCCTATATCACTTGTAAATGTATCAGCACTGACATTGGTTAGGCTGTTTTGAAGCTGATGAATCTTGCTGTTTGAATTTGTATCTTCATGGTTAATTTGAAGTCGCTTTGGATGAAAGCGACAGCAAAATGTAATGTTATGTGTCAGGCAAAATAAAGCTCCTCTTTTCGCATTTCTCCCCTCTCAGCTGGGCGGGTTACGATCGGCATGGCTTCACAGGGGAGCAGTTCATTCTGGAGAAGGGCGAGTATCCGCGCTGGGACACCTGGACCAACAGTCAGAACAGCTACTCCCTCTTCTCTCTAAGGCCACTCAAAGTGGTGGGTGAACAGTATAATACAAAACGGACTCTTTTTACACAAACACTTAGATTATCCATTAATCTGCCTATTGTTTTCTATTGGATTAATCGTTTGGCATTTAAAATGTCAGAATATAGGGACAAATGTCCATCCCCATCCAAGGTCTTTAAATGTCAATTGTTAATATTCAGCTTAACATGATATAAACCAGAGGGAATCAGGAAATCATCTCATGTGAAAGGCTGAAAACAGCATTTCCTGACATTTCTTCATGAATAATTACCTTTCATCAGTTATCACATATCATCAAAAAGGTTGGCTATTCTTTTTCTACCCATTGACTTACTGTTGCACCTAAAATTAGCAGTTATTTCCTGTCGGGCAACATTTCAGGAAATGTATATTGAATTAGATTAGATGGACTTTATTGGTACCAAATTGGAAACCCATTGAAACAGCATGTAAACAAGGCATTGCACATGATTTAAAAATCTAATAAATATATATAAAATATACAGAATAAGTTAGAATACATTGTAGTAGACCAACCTACTTCTAATACAATATAAAAAAAGGATTCTATGTACATTATACAAGTATGCATGAGGTTGAGAGTGATAGTAAAATGTATATACAAATTGTTCAGGGTTATTGAAAGAGTCAATAATAAGAGTCATGTGAGCTGCACACCAAACATCATTGTTTTAACACACTGGAGACATTTGTAAGATGCCTGTGTCTGTTTCTCCTCTACAGGACGGTGCTGAACACAAGCTGCACCTGTTCGAGAACCCAGGATTCACCGGTAGAAAGATGGAGATTGTTGACGATGATGTGCCCAGTTTGTGGGGACACGGTTTTCAGGACCGTGTGGCAAGTGTGCAGGCACTTAACGGAACGTAAGACCATCACTAAATCCCCACTTTCATTGTCTAGTTTTTCTATTTTACCTACCCAAAGCAAATAACTGTTTAATGTGTTTACTTGTAAGGGACAAGTACATTTATACTTTTTCACCTCTTGCAGAACCTGCTGTATTTCCAACGTTGATTTGGAAATACAGCACGTAAAGGACTTTGAATTGTCTTTGTTACCTTACACCCCTTAGTATACTCACAAAACCCCTCAAAACAGGCAAATGACACAATGCCTAGACTGACTCTAGTATTCAAACAATGCCTGGTAAAAAATACATTATTAAATCTGGCTTTGAGGTAGCCTTGCTTTATTGTCTTATGAGACCTGCTCACTGTTTTCCCTCCCTGCAGATGGGTGGGCTACCTCTACCCCGGATACAGGGGGCGCCAGTTCATCTTCGAGAGAGGAGACTTCAAACACTGGAACGACTGGGAGGCCCCGGACCCTCAGATCCAGTCTGTCCGACGTGTGAGGGACATGCAGTGGCACAAGAAGGGCTGCTTCGCTGCCTCAGATCCCCGCCCCGGCCCCGGCCCCGGCCCCCGCCCCCGCCCCGGCCCCAGCCCCGGCCCCTGGCCCCGACCCCGACCCTACCCCAGCACCTCCTGCACCTCCTGCCACAGCTGGAGCCAGCTGAGCAGGACCCCCCTACCTACGCTGCCGACAGTGCCTTAACCTGACCTTGGCAAACGCGTGTGCCCATGAGGAGTGCCATGTATGTTTCACTGGTGAATAAAAGATGTTTGACCTAGAGCTGCTTGTTGCTGATTGTTTGCTTTTAAGTCAATGAAACTGAGGCATTAGCACATTGGGAAATCTGTAAAGTAAAACAAGTTTTGGAAGGACTCAGATCCTTTACCATGAATTACCATGGTCTTAAAATACTCCATTACAAGTACAAAGCCTGAATTCAAAGTGTTACTTGAGTACAAGTGCAGAATTATTCTTGGGTTAATGTTCTTTAAGATAAGATAAGATAAGATAAGATGGACCTTTATTGATCCCTGTAGGGAAATTCAGGTGTTATAGCAGCAACATAATAAGAGAGAAACACAGATAGTACACATGGTATAATAAGAATACAAATACAAATATGAATAAACATGTAGTAACATTATGAATATAAATAACATGAGTTATAACTCTGACCAGGTGAATGAACGTATATACAGATATGTGACCAAGGTTAAATGTATATATATATACATTTCAGTTTTAAAAGTAAAAGTAAGTTTGCAGAATTCTTCTTTTCGTAGTGGTTTACAATACAAATATTGTGTCTGCCAATTTTAGTTACTTTTAAGATACAAGGTACTTTCGTAGTACCGTGCTACATCTTATCATAAAAGCATTTAATGTGTTTTTATATGTACAAAGTAACTAGTAACTATGAGTGTAGTGGGTTAAAAAGTACAATAGTTTCCTCCAAAATGAAGTGGAGCAGTAGTATAAGTAGCATAAATAGAAATACTTAAGTAAAGTACACGTATGTATGAATATTATTTAAGTACAATACTTCATTAAATGTACTTTGTTTCTCTCCACCACTGCGTAAAACTCACAAGTCATGTGTGCCACTTTCTCTGCTTGTGTTGTCCACATTGTAGTCACACATCTCAAAGCCTCGTGCATCTCTGGAGCACATGACTTATTCAGCAAATATGTGGAGACGCATCTGCTTTACAGCAAGTGAGCTGATGTCATACTTTATTCATGCTTCCTATTAAAACAGAGTGCACTGCATTCTCTCTGATAGTCATCATCATCGTGCATTTAGTGGTTCATGACGATGAATGGTCTCCAAGTTAATATTAGGAACTGAGGAACTCCTGTACATATTAGTCTACAATAAAGTATAGTTTTGGTCATCTGCAGACATGATTACTTTTTATGATTCTTATGACATTAAATTGAACATGCAGGCTTTTATTTAGCAGATGTTGATGTTATATTTCCAAAATAGAAATCCTTCTCCTGGCAACATTATTACAAATTGAGATAATAGTGACACAGAACAGCTCCATGTGTCTCCTGCAGTGCTCTACTATACTTGTTCTCACATGCCAGTAATGAAAACTTGCAAAAACAACATGCAGCTGTGAGCACATCTGTAGTTTACTAATGAAGATGAAGCTCTTATTGAAGATTTTAGTTCAAGGGTCCTCATACTGATTTGTGGATTTCTGAAATATTCAAATTTCAATGTGTATTTTGGAGTATTTGTTGGTTGCAGTGTGATATTCCTGCATTTAAATCCGTTGTTTTCATGAAGCCTTGTTGGCATGTGCTCTAAAACCCAGATCCTTGTTCATATTTTCTCAAATAAGTTGCAACAAATTGATTTAGCAACCTTAAATACTTTGACAGTACCCTCAAATAACTGTATGCTATATATATAGGTAGGGATGCACAATGATATTGGCACACAAAGGCTTTAAATGATCTCAGTATACAGTGTATATTCCCACATTTTGGTATCGGCATCAGGCATCAGGACAAAATGAGTGGGAAAATATTGCCATAACAGATAGCAGAATAAATCTATGACATAGAAAGAGTGCAAATCTTCCATTTTGTAATTACCACTACAAAAATGTATAATCATTTTATAATTATTATACATTTTTGTTCAGGCTGTGCAGCAGATTATTACACAATGAGGGTGTGTGTGTGTTTTTCTGTGCTTTTGTATGTTTTCTTTTCTAATGCCATCTACCTGCCAGGGACTGCAGATGGAAATGAGCCTCTATGGCTAAATCTGGCACATTGACTCACGTGCTCATGTTAATGAATGTGCATTATCCTTCTTTAATAAATAAATACAAATATTACATAATAAGGTAAAACATATTACATTGAGTTTGGGTTATGTAATACTCTTACTTATGTTAATACTTGTTAGATCTGTATGAGTTGCCAACAGACTTGTTTTTGAAAGGCAAGCACAGCTTTAAGAACAAATAACAACTGAGATCTGTTTTTCCACATGTTTCATGTTTCTCTTTGTACTTCTTCACTTGGGTCAGTGCAAGGTCAGTTTAACACGCCTGGAGCTACACAGGTGGTTATTTCTTTATAAAGAGATGTTATTTTAGACTCACTGCCTGAAGCACCAGCAGATGTGGAGAGAGGGGCTATAGCTCTTTACTTAATTATAATAGTACTCTATTTCTCCATAAAAATTGTTGTTTTCTACGGCCCAGCAGAAGAAAGGTGTATCAATCATCGATGTTTGTAAGTCTTTAAGAAAGGTTTTTATTGTAAAGCATCAGTTTTATGCTGGTTATGTAATTGCATTGTCCCTATCTAACACAATAAATATCAAAATGATGTGGAACAAAGATTAAAACATTTCATGACTGCAATGAGGCAGTAAAAAATAACCAGATAATTAAATAATACAAAATGAAAATGACATAAAATATCAAAAAGTATTGTGAAAAAAAGATAATGATAAAACAAACATTTTTAAATAAATGGTGCACTAGAATAAATAAAGAGCTCCAGGTAGTAAACAACATATGAAGTCTCATCAAATGTTCAAATGAAATACTGGTAATGCAAAATGATGAATACATATAAAACTAAAGCAGCTAATTAATGTATAACTCTGCTGTAACAAGAACCCTCTCGTTTAATTTAATGGACACTAAACTCTTTTACTGCAAACAGGAGAAAGGCAGCATACAGTAAACAGGTTGGTAACAACAATGCATGCTTTGGAGTTTTTAAACAGCAGAGGCAACACATGTTGACATTAAACCCTTAATAGTGAATTATAAATCAAATAAACCGACTCCTGTGGAAACATTTAGCAGTGTTTTTGGATTGTTATTCAGTCTCTTCAGCACTGTAACACAGATTTTGTACAATCCTCTCTCTCTCTCTCTCCGGCTCTCATTGTAGGTGCGGGACTCTTGGCACTGTTTGTGCTGATTCATGTGGATATCGAACAATGACTGGCTGCACAAAACTGACAACTAATGAAATAACTTTGTGGGGGTGTGACCCCCCGGGGTGGGGGGGGGGGAGGCTACACGGTCACCCCTCATCTCAGTCCCCTGGGCCTATGGCAGGCCGACCTGCAGCCGGTGTGCACACTGTGGGTACTGTTGGCAGAGTTTCCACCCCTGGGCGTCCCGTATATATTGAGCTCCTCGTGCCATCACAACACACTGGCAAACTGGCACAGACAGGTACTGGTAAGAGCTTCATGTCCGTAGCACTGTATTTTCTCTAAAGTGTATCTGTATTTGTTTTCATTGTAATACTGTGTTTTTATTTGTCATTGCTACAAACTCTTTTCCATGTTGCATTATTGTAATTTTGTGTGAGAAGAATATGAAGTTACATTTTGAGGAAGAGTGATGTGCATTTTTGCATGCATTTGAAAGGGTAAATCATTATGAAACTAAATATATGAAAGTGGGTTTAGCAGGAGTTTGACCTGCTTGCATTTTAAATTTAAACATTTGGAAATCATGTAGACATCCATGGATAAACTAATTGTATTTTTTCTTTTGCAGTTTCATGATTGCTGATCTATTCACTATGGCCGCAGATCACCAGAACCCTGCATCCAAGCAGCAGCAGCCAGGCACCAGTGCATTTAAGGTGGGAGGAAATGAGATTACAAAACAATTTACAACTTCCTCCTCGGAGCAAGAACTTGTTGTTCTGGATCATTGCTTCCTCCAAACATAATTGGAAACAGATCTTAAAATTAGAGACCAGAAATTCACAAAAATTCTTCCCCTTTTCTCTCTTTGGTGCACAGCTGGTTATCTATGAACAGGAAAACTTCCAGGGACGCTGCCATGAGCTGACGGGTCCCTGCAACAACGTCCAGGAAGCAGGCGTGGAGAAAGTGGGCTCCATACTGGTGCTGTGTGGACCGTGAGTGTGGCACAAAGACAGACAGAGACTACATCTGCAAAAAAAAACTGTGAACTTATATAGTATATTTGTGTAATAGTTTCTCAAAAAAAGCTATTTGATAGGGTTAAAAATATCAATTTCTGACATTGCTGAATGGAAAAATATGTTGAAGATTATTCAAATGTTTCTCTGTGAATTGACCTATTGACAAGTCGTCATGTCATTGCAGCTCCAGTGATTTAGGATGATATAGAAGGGAGTAAAATGGCCAGAAAAGTAACGACTAAATGTGTTCTTTTGACTGTTTTTCACTCCACCATCTCTCTCTTTCTCCTCACGCTCAGATGGGTGGGATACGAGCAGGCCAACTGTAAGGGGGAGCAGTATGTGTATGAGAAGGGGGAGTATCCTCGCTGGGATTCCTGGACCAACAGCAGGCGCAGTGACACCATTCTTGCTTTCCGCCCGATTAAAGTGGTAACAAACATACATACAAACTAACGTAAAAAATACAGTATATCCCCCAGTTGTCCCACAAAGTTTTATTTTATTCCCCATGCTTACTTGAATTCCTGAAGAGGACTTTGTTTTTTTACATGCATATAGGTGAACGAAGACTCAAAACACAGAGAAAGTTTGAGATGAATTGAAGGAAACAGGGGCAGCGTTTTAAAAACTGCAGAATTTTAACAAAACATATTTGTACAAACTCAGACAGCTGGTGCATTATAAATCAGGTCCTTTGTATCCTTTTGTACGCTCACCACTCCCATCACATTCATTTTTGCTGAAACCTTCCTTTTAAAACACTTCTGACCTGCATGCCTGTATTAGAGTGGGTCTGTTCAAGCAGAAGTGCTTTAAAGTAAGTTTATAGTGAAAATGCACATTGAGCATACATCATGATCAATAAGATTGATTATACAAGTTTTATGAGCTTTTTCAAACAGATGTTTTGATATGCTTTTGCTGTTAAACAAAACAGCTCTTTCATCAAGACCTTTCTTTGTTTTTTGACTCTTCATTCACCATGGAGGCCTGCGAGATCAACGTTCACAGGTTCTAAAATTGATACAAACGGCCAATTTATTGGTGAAGTATTCCTCTAATAAGTTATCCACTTTGTAAATACTTTTCTCCTCGCTTACAGGACAGCCAGGATCACAAGATTGTCCTTTACGAGAACCCCAGCTTTGCAGGGAAGAAGATAGAAATCATAGATGATGATGTCCCCAGCTTTCACGCACACGGCTACCAGGAGAAGGTCTCCTCTGTCCGGGTGCAGAGTGGCACGTGAGTCCATCGGATACAGATGCTATGTCATACTGCAAATTACTAACTGAATGTCTCTTCTCACCTATAACTCTTATATCTTTTCTCTCTCTGTGCTCCTGGTGCTCCAGTTGGGTGGGATATCAGTATCCAGGCTACAGAGGCTATCAGTACCTGTTTGAGAAGGGGGAGTATAAGGACAGCTCTGAGTTCGGAGCCCAGATCCCTCAGATCCAGTCTGTCCGGCGCGTCAGAGACATGCAGTGGCATCAGAGGGGTGCTTTCAAACCCGTCAACTAAGCTTGTGACTCTTTCCTGTCATTGAATCTGAAACTTGCAGCCTTGCTCCCTCCCAGCATCACACCCCCCCCCCCCCCTTTGTCCTTCATTTACACCTTAAAGCATTTTGATATCTATTGCAGCTGTTGCAGTAGTGACGTTCTTTCAAGCAAACTAATAAAACCTTATTGCTTAAAGTTGACTGTGTTGTATGATGTATCTCTGTGTCTTTGCCAGACTTCTTAAAAATATCTTAAAGAAACATCAGGAGTGAAAATTAAAGTTACGTTCATTATGTCCAGAGGTGGAAGAAGTACTCAGATTGTGTATTTAAGTAAAAGTAGAACTACCAAAGAGCAGGAATACTCCTGGAGTAAAAGTCCTGCATTCAAAAATTAAGTAGTATTGGCATCAAAATTACAAAAAGTAATTCCAGATTTATATTATTATATATGTCAGGGAATAATTCTGTATACATGTTTGCCTTTTGCCCTCTGACGCAGATGCCCAACCTTGGGCAGCCGCTATCTCCCTTAAGGAGGGGCTGCCCAAGCATTTTGTTGTTGTTACCAGTTTATGACCGGGCAATTCTCGGTCAGAGATAGTTATTGTTGTGGGACACCTGGAACACATCCTTCTCTGGGTTGATTATTACACTCTGAACTAGTTAAAACCTGGAACTACAGGAGGCTTCTTCAGAATTGATTGTGGCATCTCAACCGTGTGGTCAAACCGTGGCCCGTGACATATCTTGTGAATTCTCCGGCCATAGCTCCAAATAAACCGTCAGTGTTTGCCATCAAAGCTCCAGCTCTCTTCGTGTCTCTCTGAGTCCTGCTTCCAATTGCTACAGAAGTTTCCCCCACAATATATATTGAATATAATTATTGATGCATTAAAGTGTTATCAAAGCTGGTAAAGGTGGAACTAGTTTTAATTCCTTTGTATACTGCAGGGTAGCTTGTGGATTTACTCCAGGTGTAGCTGATTCAATGTTATATAATTAATCTAAATCTGCAAAGTAAATAAAGGTATAAAATAAATGTAATGGAGTAAAAGTACACTATTTAGCCTACCTGTGAGTTGAAGTGGAGTAGAAGTACAAAGTAGCAACAAATGGAAATACTCAGGTAAAGTCTCTCAAAATTGTGCTTAAGTATAGTACCTGAAAAAAATGTACTTAGCTCTTTAACACCATTGATTATGTCATTAAAATGATCTATAAATGTACCTGGAAACCCATTTTAATTGCAGTTTGTATGTTGCACTGGGCAACTCCGACCGCTACGTTGTGCTGAAGGGGCAAAAGCAGGTGACGTCACTTCCGGTTTTCCAGCGAAGAAGAGCAAACGACACATGATGAAACAACATGCTACTTTAACTCATAGCCCTGTAATTCTTACGTTGTTTGAGTAAGAAAAGCTGTATTTTTCAAGTACACTTCATCGCTACATTCTCACTTCAGACTTCGGTTCATCGGAAACGTTGGTATGATTGTTTTACCTAATGTAAATGTGACTTTTACGCTTTACAAGGCTAGCTAGCTAATTTAGACCTGTTCATGTAATCATGTTATGAAACCAGTTAGCTTATAACACCATCTGCTTTAATTATAGGGGTTTTCTGTACTAACTTTAGTTGTATTGTATATCTTATTAAGCTTAAAAACTGACAAGTAAACTAGCTATGCTGGTTGCCAAAAGGACATTACTGTTTAATTGTTCAAAGAGGTTTTATCAATCGTGTTGTTCAACTCTTATATTCGGCATGCCTCAAATACATTGTCCCATAAACCTATGGGACATGTACAAGTTACTTCCTCCCTTTTAAACTAAACTGTATTGTTTTTGTCTGTTTCTTATTAACATTTCAGTCAGGAACATTTATATCACAAATCAAGAAAGGGACATAACAATAAAGCAGAATATGTGCGGTTGCATTTGACAGAGCTTAAAAACGTTACCGTAAGTAAACTACACGTAATGTAAATGATAAAAGTGCAAACATATTTAGCAATTCACATCCTGGACAATGGCTTCTTAATGTTATAACAAAAGCTGATCAATAAACAACGGACACATTTTGTAAACTAAATACAGATTTAACAACAGTGTAAGATTACTTGGATGAAGGAAAAATGTATGTATAAGAAAAACTTCCTTGACACTAAAACCTTTGGGTCAGTAGAGTTTTGTAAGATTGCACTTTATGTGAGAGATTGAAATATCTGTTAACTAATTTTGAACATGTTTATCCTTTACCATAACCTCCTCCCACAGTCAAGATGCCTGTCCTCTGCAGTAGCTGTGGTGACAAGCGTGCTGTGCTGAAACGTCCGAAAACTGGCCACTCGCTGTGCAAGGCGTGTTTCTTCTGGGCCTTCGAGGAAGAGGTGCATCAGACCATCGTGACAGCAAATCTGTTCAAATATGGGGAAATTGTAGGGATTGCTGCCTCGGGTGGAAAGGACTCCACAGTGCTCGCACATGTCATGAAGCTCCTTAATGAGAGATTCAACTACGGCCTTGAACTCATGCTTCTCTCGGTGGATGAGGGTATCTCAGGTTACAGAGATGACTCCTTGGAGACAGTGAAGAGGAATCAGGAACAGTATGAGCTGCCGCTGAAGATTGTGTCGTATGAGGAGCTGTATGGCTGGACTATGGACGCTATAGTGAAGCAGGTGGGACGGAAGAATAACTGCACCTTCTGCGGCGTGTTCAGAAGGCAGGCGCTCGACAGAGGAGCCCTCATGCTGAAAGTGGACAAGATATGTACAGGTAACTCCAAGAACTATTACTTACTGTGAATGCAAGAATTTCCACTTTGAAATGTGACTAAGAAGTGCTAGGACTAAAAATATAATACGTGACATTTCCAAATATAACAGCTGGTATATCATTTTTTGAGTTTTGATCTTACTTTATTCCAAATGTTTCCACTAGTTTTCAAATCTAGAGACATTTTAATCAAGGCAATAGGATTTATTTTGATCTCCTGTTTTGGTGTTATATATGCCTTTTTTGCGCTGTGTTTTAAATTAGACCCCTAGTGGCAAAGAATTACATAATGTGCTTTTAATGTCAAAGATTGAATATTGTGTTGTTGTTGTTGTTGTTGTTGTGTTTATCCCAGGTCACAATGCTGATGACATTGCAGAGACTGTTGTGATGAACGTCTTGCGAGGGGACATAGCTCGTCTGCGCCGCTGCACGGCCATCTCCACATCCAGCGAGGGTGAAGGGGTTGTGCCGCGCTGCAAGCCCCTCAAATATGCATATGAGAAAGAAATTGTTCTGTACGCTTACTTTAAGAAGTTGGACTACTTTTCCACTGAATGTATCTACTCCCCCAATGCTTATCGTGGCCATGCGAGGACCTTTCTGAAGGACCTGGAGAGCATCAGGCCTAGCTCTATAATGGACATCATCCACTCGGGGGAGAACCTGTCTGTGCGGGACGGGGTGAAGATGCCGGTGCAGGGAACCTGCAAACGCTGCGGCTACATCTCCAGCCAGAGTCTGTGCAAGTCCTGCGTGCTGCTGGAGGGTCTGAACCGAGGGCTGCCGAAGCTGGGCATCGGCAAACACCACCGCCTGCACGACAAGATCCTCAACCAGCAGCCCCTCACTGAGAAGGAGGAGAGGAAGCTGAAAGCAGTCCACTTCTGACCACAGATAGCGACTGTATTATTAACCAAAGACTGGAGGTATTTTTACTTTTAGAATAAATCATGTTTGTTGTCTTTAACATAAGAGAAAGAATAGAAAGTCAACTGTTTTTCTTTCATTCATCATCAATTTAATATTTATTGAAAGTTATGCATGGTATATTTTGTTATAAGAATGAGCATCTTCACAGGACGCACAGCCTATTCACAGTTTATAACCAGGGATCATTGAGATACTGTGGAGACACATTTTCCAGTGGTTATAAAGGTGTTAAATGTGATAAATGGTACGTGTATACAGTTGTTTCATTGCTTTCTGTATTACACACATAACAGGATCATTTATCTGTAAAGCTTGGTGCCATGTTGAGTTCTTCAGGTCATTTTCATCATGGGGTTATTAGATAGAAGCATCACCTGGGTTTCCAAATACTTCATATTTACACACACATGCTAAGTGAGGAGCTGAGACAAGAATGAGCAGCTTTGTTGTTTTTGAAGTGAGCTGGTTGTGAATATTCAACATTAATGAAAGCTCTCACTAATGGCATGTTACATTTCTTTATTTGTTGCTACTTCTTCACCGATCTCCGGGGAAGATGTGATGACCGTTATGGTCTCATTCAAAGGTGTTTTATAAACTATTTAATAAATGCATTGTCCCATATCTTCGTGGCTCCTGTTTTTCTTCATTTGGATTAATGTATTATTAATCTCATGAAATGTACGAGTTGAGGCCTGGGAGCCAGCAGAAAAACGTTTTTAAAACGTATGTTTTCTGCAACAAAGAAAAAATCAATGTGATAAGGAAGTACTGTCATATAAATGTTGTACTGTAAAAGGTTCCATCTCAAATATTGTGGAATAGAAGTAAAAAGGTGGCAAATATATATTTTTAAATCCTTAGTGAAGTACTCAGAGGTGGACAAAGTCCTCCATTTGAAATTCTACTTATGTAAAAGTACAAAAGTAGTCAGTCTGCATGCAACATCCCATTTCAGAATCATTGCAACTTTAGCTTGTCCATCCATCCATCCATCCATCCATCCATCCATCCATCCATCCATCCATCCATCCATCCATCATCTATCTACAGCTTCTGGCCGCTAGGTGTCGCTCATCACTCCACCTCAGTCACAGTGCGCGCTCTCGTAAAGTACACATGCACATATCGCAGCGCGTTCACGAGATCTACCCTGACAAAACTTCCAGTGCAGCGCGTCAGCGGTGAAGTTTGGAGGAAAAATCAGACTTCGTAAACAGTTGAGGAGCTCAAACATAAAACTGACTCAGGCCAAAGCCAGGCAGCCACCATGGACGATTTAGGTAAGTCATAACGTTCTTTTTAAAACGTTTTTGTTTACAGTCAAGGGTGGAGAAGTTGACGTACGCTGAGATTTAATGTTGAAAAGTCAAGTTTCTGGGTCTCTGTGGTAGCCTACAATTGACCATTTTTTGACTTTTCTACGAATCGTAGTAGCGGTTTGACGTCATTAGCCGTTACAACCTCCTCCTTTTAAACTCTACCTCTCTAACGGTTTAGAACGTGAGTAACGTTTCTACGCACATTTAAAAAGACGTTATTTTGCAAGTGCCAGAGGGAGGAGATGTTTGGCTGACATTTTGACACAGAGCTTCAATATTACCTCCTCAACTTTTGCCCCCAGGCTATTCCTTCCAGCTTTGAAGTGGTGGAGTCAACAGGCCTCCCCTTTTTAGACTGCCCAGAGCAGCACACAGTGAGCCAGGCTGCCTGAGAAAGTATCTCCAGTCTGATGGGGCTATTGATACTTTACTACAAACCACAGGTGGTAGAAGTAGTAGATTATGTGTAGGAATTCTCTGTTACAAGTAAAAGTCTTGCATTTAAAAGGTTACTTCAGTAAAAGTACAAAAGTATTGGCCTCAAAATATACCAAAAGTCAAAGAATTCATGCAAATTGGCCCATTTCAGAATAATATATTATATGTTTTGATTATAATTATTGATGTGTTTATCAAAGCTGGTAAAGGTGCATATTGAATTACTTTGTATGCTGCAGGGTAGCTTGTGAATGTTACTCCAGGTGTAACTTAAGTCTTATTTATTTAAGTTATCTTTGCTCTACTACTTTTATCTGACAAGATTTTTTACTTTAAAGAATCAGATGAAAAGATATTATCAACCATATCATATATTATTTAATTTTACGATAAAACTTGATTGAGCTCTTAGTGAAATGAATTAGCTAGACAACAGTATATCTGTATAGAAAAAACATGATTGTATCAATTATAAATCAATATCTATTGTTCTGAAACAGGATGCTGAATAAGTACTTCCACTTTTTACTTTGACTTCTCTTCAGTATTGCAGTTTCCTTCTACTTTATACTTCTACTCCATTACAAGTTAAGGGTAACTATTGTTCTTTTTAGTCCACTATGTTTATCTTACAGCCCAGACTGAAAGTCATAATACAAAATAACAACAATATAGAATATTACTATAGGTTAAGATCACTTAAAAACAGTATATTTAGAAAAACACTCCTCCTTTCCCGGGTGCAAAATTAAAGTGACAATAAAGAAAATAATGTAATGATATCATATTTATTGTATGTAGTGTCAACTTTCTGCAGAAGCTGAAACAGTGGTAATAATGATTGTTCCTGACACCGTGCTGATATCACTTCGATTTTTGCTACAAGGCAGAATGTAAAATATTGGTGTAACTTTGCCATATCTATCTGTGTCCATGCATCACAGACCTTGAATTAGAAGCTGTCATGCTGCACAACCTGCTTTTCTTATTTATAATAGTTAATTAAATGTAAAGGGACTAACTAGTCCACAAGCAAAAAAGAACTGACTGATTTATTATTACTACAAAAAAGTCAGATAGTTTAGAACGGAAGATCGCCTCTGATCATGTTTGGTTATTTCCCCAAATTGCTTGTAGCTCCGTGCAGTCTATCAGCTCTTTCTATTTTGTGTGTCTCATTTACCAGTCAGCTCTTAAGTTGACTTTTGACCTTTGGCACCGGACCTCTGAACTTCTAATTCTGGTTTTTATACTTTTCACCAGCTGGTCATCTTGCTATATTTACCAGAACAATTCACTACTTAAGCCTCTGTCAGGTATTTGCAGGGAATACTCCCATTGTACTCCCAGAGTAGAAAGACAGTAAAGTGGATTTGCTGAATTGTTTAAGTGGAGAGATGATGGGACGCATTTTGAGTTTGGCCCGATCTGAGAATACTTATTAGATGCTCTGGCTGCTATCGGCTACTGAAAGGGCATATTGTTGTTGGAGAGGGAGCCCGTAGTCTCACTGAAGCAGCGTGAACTGATGGAGGGGCGAGGCTGCTGAGGAATGTGGAACATCACTGTGTGTCCGTCTCCAAGACCAAATACTCCCTTGGTCAGGACTCACCTCCTACCAATACTCTCAGACTCATACCAGCACATTTATAGACTTTCTGGTTAGATGCTGGAAGTAAGGTCTGTGATTAACACAAGTTTAAAAGAAGTGATTTGTTTTGCTCTACGACATATCAGGAAATACCCCAATTGGGAATTTCGGACCTTTTTAAGCGTCTTAGAAAATGTGGCTAAATAAGATAACAGAGGTTGTCAGGGAAAACAAACGTCATCATGCCAAACATGAGACATTTCCTCTCCTTTGACATGAAGTCATGAGACCGTGGGGATTACCTTGCTAATGAATGATGTAAATATCATGAATGTTTGTTTGCTAATAAAATAAAAATATCCTTTTTACCAATTTTGTCAAGGGGACAAGTGTGATGCTAACATCCGGATGGTCTACAAATATTCTTTATCCCTACAGACACTTATAGTATATTAAAAACATCTTGATCTTAAGGGCTGGTAGCCTGATGAGGACGGAGCCAGGAAGTACAATTGCATTGTTACAGTTTAACATTTCTTAACATCATGTGGTAAACCCCTACCATACGCAATATTAAACCATGTTCAATGTTTGTCAATACTTTCTGACTGTGGTTAACTGCACTTCCAGTAACCCCCCAGCTAACAAGCCCCCCTCCCACACGTCCATGTGTTGAGGCTCATGATGACTGACAGGTCTACATGGAGCTGTTTGGAAACCTGATCAGACTCCACTCTTTCCGTCTCCCGTGTATATTGATCTGCCCACGTTGCTTAACACTCGAGGAAGGGAATTCCCTCAGCATGGTGTGAGCCCTCCTCCAGTCTGAGTCAGAGTTTTCCACAGGTTTCCTCTCATCAGTCTTTTACAATCCAGACCAGGTGGCAGCCAGGCCGAGCTTCACTGTCGTGGCTGATGTGGCCCTTTTCAAGTTTAGACCACATGTGACACACTGTCCTTTGGTTTGTCCTGCTCCTGTGTTTCATGTTTGTTGGGTATGAAGCTTATCCCCGCTCTCTGTGAATTCCTCAGGATTGTGTGAGATTCAGGCAGACTGACCTCACTGGGCTGTGGAGGCCCTGTGGCATGTCTGCAGGTTAACAGTGGAGACATTTGATTAGTATAGAGATACATTTTACTGGAGAGGTCATGACTGAAGAGGGTTTAGTTGTAAAATATATATTTATTTGATATACTGCCTTGTATTGAATCATACAACAATCATGTCCAATGTAGACTGGTGTTAACCTTTTCCATTTTGATGTCTGCAGTGTGAGACACTCTGCCCTATTGTGCAGCTTACAATGCTCATGTGACCTACGGGAGATAGCTATGTAGGCAGAAACACACAGCAGCACCTGCTAAACGTGCCTTATGTAAACACACTGCAGTCTTGTTAGTTTTACAGTCAGTTGATCACCTTGCAAAGGGAGCCCTTATCCTCCAGGCAGGAGTATAAGCTGGCTGTTATAGAGGCCGCATGGTCTTAAATGTTTACAGCGTTTGCACGGCATACCGAAAGATCTTAGAAGGTCTGAAGTGCTTTCTGTGTCCTGGTGAGTCGGCAGCAGCACAGAGTTAGTGTTACCACAACAGCTTTCATCACCCAATGAGCGCTGCAAGGTTAGTGCATACCTCCTCTAACCAGCGGGCTCGCCTGCTCCGCCAGAGGGAAGCTGCTGACTGTAAATCAGTCTTGTTCCCGAGCTCCACACCCATCCTGTCCTGGGTCTGGGGAAGAGAAGGCCGCATGGCTGACCTCATCGCTTAGGCAACAGACCCTGCCCCACATCCTGAGGAAACAGAGGAGAAAAACAATGAACAGCAGAGTCAGAGCTGGAGGCCAAAGGCTGGTAGAGTGGGCAGCCCTGGGCCTTCAGTGGGTGATCCGGCTGCCAGAACACTGTTTTCTTTACTAAATGCTGTTGTGGCACATTGTGGGTTCACTTGCAGCGCCCCTCCACTTGCTTCCTCTTTTTACGCTGCTTCCAAGCTTTCCTTTTACCCTGACCTAGTAACTTGGCTCGAAGAACAGTGCAGATTATTTTCCAGTATTATCAGGTCTGGGTAATGTAGTAGGAATCTGAGAGTCCCTGCTGGATCTCTCTAGCGTTACTCAAGCTGGGGACACCCCAAGGCATGGACACAGGGAAGCTCTGAGTTAGGGGGGCAGGGAATCTCACTTTGGTCAAATAATCTACCTAGGAGAATGAACTGAATAACAAATATATCGAATTGATTATCTCATAAGGATACTAATTCATAGTTGTAGCCTTATTTGTATGCTGAGTGGGTGGTGTAGACACATTCATCCATCAGGTCTTTACTTTCTAATGTTCTGCACTTCTATAGAATGATTTTGGAGCATGTCTTGTGTGTTGGGTGTTTTCATTCAATATTAGAGAGACAAGATGGCCTTTCGTTGAGGGTCTTCCTCACCCTCTCTAATGGCACAAAAGCCTTCTCGCTGACATACGGTCGTCACACATGCGTGGCGATGAATGTGTCCTCAGTGACTGGGTGTTACATCAGTCTTTAGACTTTCCCCTGTCATCTGATTTACTGGGCAGTGGGGAAGTGCTTTTATTTTGAGTCCAGCGTTCTCTCTAGAGGCGTGTCATCTTTCAGTTAAAGGGTTGCTTGGCAGAGTATTTTTAGGTGTGTTTATTTTGAAGTAATCACCCTAAGATGCTTCTGTCTTTCTTTCGGATGGTTTGCCATTACACCGCATTACACTCATCCTTTGTCTGGGTGGGACTGTGTGTCACTTCATTGTGGATCACCGTAAAGTAACACAAGTTGATTGTGGTTAGTTTACATGTTGGAGTAATCATGGATATCCTCACATGAGGGAAAAAGCTATCATGCTAGAGAATTGAATAATAGAGCAATGTATTACAGGAATTATTTTCCTGTCCTAACAGACGTAGCT